CTTTTCATTGTTTTCATTTATATTACCACTGTTCCTGATTCTAAATTATTCACCCAGAATAAATCACATGATTATCCGTTCAAGAGACTGACCGTGATAACAGCAAGATCACATCCTTTCTGAAGACAAAAATCCCTTGAAACTTAGCCAGCTTTCAACCAAACTTAGAATCAGTCATTTGGGTATGGGCAGTAATCACAAAGAAATGAGCCAGGAGATAATATGTGGAACCTCAAAGTCATATCGCAGCCTTGAGGATTCATATCATCTAATAGTAGAATACTGGATAGTACAAGTGATTCATCACCACCAAATTTAATTCTAATTACTTCATTCCCAAAACCGAGATCAGAAGAGGCAGCTTGTAAACGTTTATTGATGAATTCACTTGACGCAGTATGACGTCTCGAAATGTACCCATTGTATGATCAGGAAAACACATATTTGTCCAGCGGAGAATTCATATCCAATTTAATAAGTCGTAAATTATGGCGAAAAAGGCAACAGATGCACTCGAAATCTTACATTCAATACAAATATCTGGCGAAAGGTAATTCCGCAGAATCATTAGCTATGGCATTCACCACTGAACACTGGATGCCGACCCTCACTGTTTCAGTCAATTTGTTTAGCTGAAGGCTTACAGTCAAGCATCCATGCCATTTGGCACGCCGTCGTGTTACATTCGTCCGTTAATTCGTACACGATTCCTAGTTGGTTAAGCAATCATCTCGCACTCCGATTTGGTCCCGAAACATACTTCGTAATTTGGACGATCAATCATGGTGTTTTGCTTTGCCTTTGGTCTACGCGGAACGAATACTATAGAAGTTTTGGGTATCTCGTTTGATGTGCCAGCCACTGCAATCGGCGCAGTTCTGCAACATCTAGCCAACAGAGAGTGGTTACTACTTGCCTTTTTCTCGAGGCGCCTTCAATAAGCAGAAACGAAGTACAGCGAATTTGGCAGAGAACTTCCGGCATTGTACTGTGCTATGCGCCACTTCCGCCATTCAGGGGAGGGTCATGAATTTATAATTTTCACAGACCACGAACCTCTGACGTACTCTCTGAACTCAACTTCAGATAAGTGCTGACCTAGAGAATCACGACAACTGGGCTAAGTTTCACAGCTTACTTCGGATATTCACCATGTATCCGGAGTGAACAACACCGTAGCAAATGCATTATTGCGCATTTGTTCCCTCACCCAAATAAATAGAATAGACCTTGTAAAACGGGCTCGTCTTCAAAAAGAAGATACTGAGCTGCAACAAGAGTTGTCAGAAACAATTCTGCAATTTGCCAAGAAACCCTTAGGTTTAGGAATAGACACTATTCTGTGTGGCATTTCCGCGAGTACTCCTAACCCCATCGTGCCTAAAAGTTATCGCCTCAACGTCTTGAAGACGTTGCATTGCTTATCCCACCCAGGTGTTGGAACTACCGTCAAGCTCGTAACTAGTCGGTTTTGTTGGCCTGGCATAATTAATAAGTAAGGGAATGGAATTACACGTGCTTAGCTTGCCGAAAGTGCGAGCTAGTAAGACACGCCAGAAGCCCCCTGACACCTTTCTTACCCCAGATGCTCGTTTCGAACCCGTTCATACAGATCTGATTGAACCCCTCCCGGGACCTCATGCATATACCTATATTCTGAACTGTATCGACCGTTTTACACGGTGGCCTGAAGAGGTAACCCTCAAGGATGTATCTGATGAGGTAGTCACACGCGTCTTTGTCGAACGATGGATCGCAAGTTTTGGATGGCCATCCTCCACAACAACTGATCGCGGGCGGCGATTCGAAAGCGGCTTATTCTTTGCCTTGACTAAAATCCTAGGTGATGTGCGTTTTAGAACAGTCTACCATTCTCAAGCAAATACAATGGTAAAAACGTTTACACCAACCGCTGAGGGCCGGGTTACCATCTGCAAAGAGTGAACATTGAACTGAATCGCTGCCGTTAGTTCTCCTAGGCATGCGAATTGCCTTGAAAACCGATGCTGGTTGCAATGCTGCCGAGCCAGTATATATTTTATTATTTATTTTTTATTTTGGTTACAGCTTGATGCCACACCGTATTTTCAGTACAAGTATGGAATTTTCAGCATGGATATCGGTAGCCCAAATTTTGCAGGCCGACATAGATATCGGGTGTGCGCCGGCAGGGGCTCGAACCTCGCACCATGTGCATGGTCGGCGAGAGTTCAACACTATGGCTGCCAAGTGAGTTTATTTCTCCCTATAGCCTCCCCCAGAGGTAGATCGTGCCTCGTACGTTGGCAGGCCAACAAACGCAATGCTCCCCTTCGACCACAGTCCATATACGTCTTTTTTAACCCTAGTTTGAAAACTGCTTCATATGTGTTTTTCAGTTGTGACTCTGTACGCCGCCCTCTGGAACCCCATATGATGGACCGTATAAATCACTGAAAGTATAGATAAGCATTTGTCCCAGACAATAAAGGCCTTGAAGACTCTGTTAGTATCGACAGTCTGAAACCGGCTTACTTAGAAAGCAATCTCATAAGCCCAAAACTAAACACTCCCCATAATAAACTGGTAACCGAGTATCCGTTAGACCTCGAAGAAATTACAAGCACGGGAAGGGCGGCCGAGACCTCAAAGAAAACGCGTTCTGGACGAACCGTGAGATTCTCAGCGAGTCTTCACACTTATCTCACATAACAAGATGATGCAACCTATCCACATTATCGCGCTTGTGGTATATGTTTTCCTCAGGCACATGAAAACTTTTTTCATTGCATCGTATAAGAGAAGTAAAAATTACCTATTCATGACCGTTCATCAACTAAAAAACATTACAATTTTTCCGATGTTCTATTTTTCAAATTATTTTTCTGTTCGATAGATGTATATCACAATTCAAATGTTATTTTTGGCACGTTTTCCTTGACAGGGTTCTCAGCACTCTTGCTTTCTTTTCCAGGTGCGATGGGTCCTGGACAAGAAGCAAACACAGCACGAGATCCAACGGAAAAAGGTAAAAGAAGCGATATACAGACACCCAATTAGCATGGGTAGACGACTAGTAAGCAGTCCATCAAGCCAACCGAAGGAGTTTCAATAATGGTTATACCACTGGGTTTTTGTTTCGGGTTGGTTTCGTCTGAGGGTCCTCACAAGCCCACTAGGGGGGAGTGAGTTGCAGCCAAAAGTAGTTCCCCGGAATCATTGGCCACAGCATTCATCACTGAACACTGGATGCCAACCCTCACTGTTTCAGTCAATTTGTTTAGCTGAAGGCTTACAGTCAAGCACCCATGCCATTTGGCACGCCGTCGTGTTACATTCGTTCGTTAATTCGTACACGATTCCTAGTTGGTTAAGCAATCATCTCGCACTCCGATTTGGTCCCGAAACATACTTCGTAATTTGGACGATCAATCATGGTGTTTTGCTTTGCCTTTGGTCTACGCGGAACGAATACTATAGATGTCTTTGTGTTAAACCTGGCACTTGTATTAATCGTTTTGTTCACGAATATCAACACCCTCAGCCTCTAAACATGACATAGGAATGAATATGATCAATTACTTTATTAACGTTTGGATTGGAAGTGGATGAATTGCAAAATTTTTAATGGTTACTGAATAAGTGATCTGTAAAGATTTCTAAGTTTTAGGTGAAGAATTGTCTGAAAAGTTTGGAGTACCATAATGATGACAATTGGGAAGTCGAAGGTAAATTGAAGTGAAATGAAATCAATTTGGAAAGTTTAATTAAATATAAAGAACATTACAGTGACCAAAGGAAAGAATGGCGTTTGGCAAATTGATTTTGAACGCACAATTTATGTTTTCATCCATGTTTAGTTAGAGCTTCGGCTGTGCATAAGTGGGGAAAACGTAGGCTTTTGGAATGATTAGATTTGGTTTTGCAGGCAAGTTTAACGAATAAATCACGTGTGGTTAAATGAACAGACTCTAGAAGATGTTCGCAGATTGAAGACTTCGTCATCGTTTATTCAGCCTTCATTAACCAAACCGAGTAGTTTTCGGCTACGCGTGTACGGAGATTAGGTTTACAACTTCCAATATAATCAGCTCCATATGAGCAAGTGATTGGGCATATAGATGTATTTTATTCTTAACGCATTGTCAAATCGTATTGATACTTGATATTCTATTTGCTATTATATTTCTATTATTATAATTAAATCATCTTTAATGAGCTATAATTCCATTGATCTTACTTAACAAATCGATATTATTTAAAAAATACCATCAATTATTTTGTTTCTAATAGATTTCTGAATGAGTATTTTCGCTATACTGAAGTCATATTTCTTCTTGTATGTACTAAATATATGTCAGCTGCATGAAAAGAGTGTTCAATACACTTAGATAAACGACTTTTAATGACTTCCGCAAGTGTCAACTAATAACGCCAAACTCATTAACACTGTCTTCTTTGGTACTGTGATGTGGCTGAGGATGGCCTCTCTATTGATGTTTCTGTCAACAAACCTTCTAGGACATCCATTATTTGAGAGAGTTGTGTGGAGATTTTGTAGTTCTGTGTCAACCGTAACTGTAGAACATAGAGAATGGATAAAATTTCTCTTCCTACCCAGAGGTACCCAGTTGTCGAGGTTAATGTACTGCCTAGAAATGTTGGCTTTCGATAAATATACCTTTTCAACGTGTCATCCTCTCTTCTATCTAACATCACATAGAAGAAATCATATGCGGAATTCGACTTTTCTTCGATACTAAAAAGCATAGATCAGTGAGAACCATTAAATTTTTCAGAGAGTTCGGCAGTTGAAAAGTTGTCGTTACAAATAATGGAGATCTGGTCAATATATCTGCATTAAAATGTAACACTTCTTAATTGAAACGTATGACCTATCCTGGTTTTTGCGCCAGTTTCAGTTGTCAGATTATTTTTCCGCTAGGTTACGTTAACAGTTGTGTAACGGAGTCAAAACATAAGTTTCATCTACTTCACTTTATCTCTGTTGACACTGTGTCATGGAAACGAGAGCTAAATCCGACACTTATTTCGTGCAGTATCAAAAACAGCAACATGGAGCTCGTGCTAACACATGGATGGAACATATTAGTAATCTGGACATTGATCATGCCCCATCTTTTGTCAGGCAAACTAACTTAGTTTGTACTCTAGGTAATTCTCCTTTTCTTGTCATCGTTTCAAAATAGGTGATTTGTGGGATACGGATGAGAAAATTGACCAGATGATAAAAAGTGGCATGAACATTTTGCGTTTGAATCTGAGTATGGGTTCAAAAGAAAAGTACGCAGAAGTCATACGTCGTGTTCGCCAATTAGAAGAATCATATGGCCATAATCCAGCTGTTGGTATCGCACTTGATCTTTCAGCTCCTCCTGTACGTACAGGTCTTATAAATGGGGTATGCTGTATATTCTGTGTTTATTCGGCAGAGTGTTGACGGTTTTGTTGTAGTTCAAACGGGCCAGATAATCCAACTAAGCATTTCCGACGAATATGAAGACAAGTCGTCAAATTCTGTCATCTGGATAAGCTCAAATTATTTCCCAACACTTCTACAATGCGTAGCTATTGGTGATCGCATTTACATTGATGAGGGAATGATATCCTTGATTGTTAGAGATATCAAGATAGACAGCATAACTTGTTTAGTTGAACAAGGAGGTACGTCATAAGTTTGATTTTATTTGCACTGCAGGTGAGATTGGGAGCTATAAACGTGTTCAGCTACCAAGTGAAAGACTTTACGAAAAGACATTCGACACTACGTATAAAAGCGACCTAGAATTCGCTGTTCAGTGTCAGGTTGTTCTGTTAACTATTTGATAATTGTCTGAATAGGTTGATTACGTATTCACTGGTTATGCCTCAAATGCAAATCAGGTTGCACAGGCTAAGAACATTTTAGGCAAGGACATTCTTTTGTTTTCTAAAATAGAAACTAAAGAATCAATAAAAAAGTAAGTCATTATTTTTTGATGCTACTTATAATTGGTATATAGTTAGCATTAACTAGGCAGATCATTTCTGGTTCATTTTGACAGCACTGGTTCAGTATACTGAAACCGTATGAAATTTTCATCAGCTTTGACTATTGGTGTACCAAGCATTTTGCTTCAAAGTGTGCTGACTTTTTGTGTCAGCCTCTCACACAAATCTTTAATGCGTCATTTCATAGGGAAATAAAGCTGGTGTCTTTACCGGAATCATCTTGTGGATCAGGTCTAGAGTTTGGACCAATCGCCATCACGTTTCCATTTCTGAAAACTATAGAGAAACTTCTTTTGCATCTTCTTAAGCCTTCTTTGAAATTGTTTAATGGTCCAAAGCAGTCTGTTTACAAACGCTGTGGAAACACTTTAGATGTCATCGTTGTACTCCACCACAATATTGTTTCAAGTCTTGATAAAGGCGCAAAGCTGTTCAAGCCTGCGTTTTAGGCTACACTACTGCTTTTAACTCTATTCCTAGGGCTCTGTTACTAAACAGGCTGATTTCAACACTTACTGAGTCCTGGATAACAAGATGGCTGTCTTCTTATTTTTCGGATAGAAAACAACATACCGTTTTGAATGGAAAGCGCCCCCTTTGCTAATGGAAACTAGTGAGCCTCAAGGAGCTATGCTCTCTGCATTCCTTTTTTATTATTTTTAGAAGGACCTTCCGTATTCTCCCAAGGCTAATTTCACTAAATATGCTGACGATCTGACCATTTCTGTCCCAGTAGTTTTGTCATTGCATTGTTCTTATATGAATCGATTCTTATCTGAAGTTAACAAGTGGTCTTAAATTGAATCCATCTAAATGTCATTCTGCTGATTTTAGTTTCAGGTGCGAAAAAGACTCGCGTGAACTGATTCATTCTCATGATTCCTGAACTACTGACGGCATTGTGATAGAGAGTTAATAGAATATCGCTTATCTCGGCATCCCTTTCTCTTCGAATCTGTGTTCGTCTTGTCATATCTTGTTGATTTTTAAGGGAAATTTTCGTCTGACTTATTACACAGAGATGATGAGAGTTTCTGGATAACTCAACATCTCTTGCAATCTATTAATTCATGTATTCCACCCATCCTTCTTTATTGTTCATCCTTATTCTTCCCTGGATTTCTCAAAAAAGACTATATCATATTAGGTAGAATGCTGAAGGCTGTAAGTAGGGTTAGCGGTGTCTCTGACTTCATTAACTGACATTATTTTCACTAAGTATTTCAATTCTTGCAATAACTTGGCTAAAGTTATCTTTTCTGATACTGAACATCCTCTTTATTCTCAACTTTTGCCTTGTATATCTTTGGGTAAAACCAGATGAAACTTCATAAAAATTTATGCTCGTACAGCTAAATATAGAAATTCTACCATACCGTATTTAGCACGGGTTTTGTGTAAAGAGAGAGTCAGATGTCAGAAAAGAACACATAAACTTTTTAAATCAGTATTCTGAACTGCAAAGTATAAGTAAAGATTGTTATTGCATGTATTATACGTGATATCTATTTATAATTCATTATGTTTCCACCACCATTCTGTTTATAGTGTTCCCATTATTAATATTATTATTATTACCATTTTAAATTTTATGTAAATACATATTTATAAAAGGAGCTAAATTGTTGTAATATGTATAAAAACGCTAAAAATTCTACTCTGTATAATTATTATTGTAGTACATTTTAGAATAAAAAGTAGTCACTTTTAGCCCACCTGAATACTTTAAAAAAAATTAAGATGATATTACAAGTGTGATCTCGACTTTGATTTGCTCCCTAAATGTATCTTTTATTTTCAGTTTGAATGATATAATGTTATTTTCCGATGGCATTATTATTGGACGTGGTCCTCTCAGTTTATGCTATCCAAATGAAAAGGTTTTTCAGATACAGAAACAAATAATTGCAGCTTGCAATATACTCCATAAACCTGTATTTGTTATAACCCATTTACTTGAGTCAATGAGATTTAAACCTCGAGCCACTCGAGCAGAGATAAGTGATATTGCTAATGCTGTTTTGGATGGCGCTGATGGACTTATATTAACTGTAGAAACTTCAAGAGGAATGTTTCCAAAAGAATCATTAACGGTCTTACACAAGGTATTCTAAATTACCACTTATATTTTTATTATTATTAAAGTGAATTATTTATATATGCATATAATCTAGACTAAATTTTACGATTCTTACAGAATGAGTTAATCAATAAATTTCCATACTTTACAATTATAAACTACACTTAATAAACACATTACACGGTCAGGTCAAGAGAAAAGCTAGACTTATCTTTAAACTCATGAAAAATCCCCATTCGAACATTAACATAGAGAATACCAGTAGTTCAGTGAAAAGTCTCTTTTCAGTGAGTTCGCCGAAAGTGTCATTTGGCTGTTAACATAGTTGTGACAAACTGATATCTAACTACACTTGCTGAGTTTTATAACTTACTTTATGTTTTTTATCTATTAATTAATCCAGGGGGTTATTATAGAAAGCGTTATGTTCTCATTATCATCCGTACATTACTTTTTTCTGCATCGATAGATTAAAGGACTATATTATCATGCAGTAGACTGCAACTTGTATGAGTTATGCATATAGACCAGAGTCAAATTACAAGTTTCGAACATACTATGATACTGCACTATGTAGTTTAAACTTATATAAACAACGTTCACTGTACGTCAGTACCAAACTACATTCAATGGAAAGGTAAATAAATATCTCTCCTGTGTCATCTTGATTACACTAGTTATTCAAAGCCAATGGACATAATTATTTTACTAAAGAACAGTTGCTGAAGTTAGTTATTTAGTTATTTGGCCTTCGGATTGATGGTTTCGAACTTGAATTATTACCAGTAAAGTGGACTGTAGGACCATTTGTTGATTAGAAAGAAGTCTTCCTTAAATGGATCCAAGAGACCATCCTGTGGTATCAGTTTTGGCTCAAATTAAGGACCAGTGATGGTGTCTACTTCAAATAATTAAGCTAATTTTATTTTAAAAATGTATACCGATTGTTTCTGGTACAAAGTAGCTCACCGAAAATGTAAAAATCTTATATCTAATCAGTAAAAACTTATTATCAAATCAAGCATTGTATTAAAAATTAACCTTTCCATCAATCAGTCCTACATTCGGATAGCTTATTAGCAAGTTTACTGTTCTGTGATGCTAAGTAATACGAGAGGGAGTGTAAGTTTCCTGAAAGTTGCACATAAGTCTTACTCATGAGTATTAAACACCATGAACTTATGTCCAGAGCTTCCTGTCGGTTGATTGTTTCCATATCTGATGGTCAGATTACAGTGCAATAAAGTGCACTGAAGAACCATGTCAATTCATGTAGTTATGCTATCGTACACCTACTAGGAATCTATAAGTTCACCCACTTATGATTAGACAGCTGTACTAGTTGCAAACTAGTGACCAAACAGCATGTAACCACAACCCTTTTAACTGTCACGCAACTAACACTTATACACAGTAAGAGTTAATTGTTTTCAGATTTGACATATATAAATGAAGACTTCTGTAGCGGTAGGTAATTCCCCAGAATCATTGGCCACAGCATTCATCACTGAACACTGGATGCCGACCCTCACTGTTTCAGTCAATTTGTTTAGCTGAAGGCATACGGTCAAGCATCCATGCCATTTGGCAAGCCGTCGTGTTACATTCGTTCGCTAATTCGTACACGATTCCTAGTTGCCTAAGCAATCATCTCGCACTCCGATTTAGTCTCGAAACATACTTCGTAATTTGGACGATCAATCATGGTGTTTTGCTTTGCCTTTGGTCTACGCGGAACGAATACTATAGAAGTTGTAGGTGGTAGATCTTGCGTTGTGTGAACATCAACACTCGTAGCCTCTAAACCTCCTAGAAACGTGGCATCTACTTTGCCTATAGCATGCCTTCTCTTGTTAGGGATCACTGAAACCATCTATTAATTTATTAATTCTCGTTAACCTACGTGCGAAATAAACGATTTTTTGCAACAACTTTCGTTTTACATTCTTTTCCTTATTTATACTTATTTCTTTTTGTGCATCATCTTACTTTCGTCCTTCATGGAGTTGGACCATTTCACAGCTAACCAGGATGCGATTACAAATCATGACTGCATTTCATAGTATAAGATTCCCAATTATATTATGAAACAGGGATTTATGTAGTGAATGACTAATTCACCTTTTATTACCTTCTGAAACAAGATTTATTTCTCCAACGATCTTTTTTCCCCTTAATTTTTGTTGTAATGAAAAAAAGCTAAACACGAAGATTGCTTTTTAAAAATACTCTTCTTTGAAATCCACCCTACATATAATCATCATGCACAACAATTTTCTACTCTAATTAACTTTAAGTGTAAAATATTGTCTTTTAGACTTGTCGAGAAGCAGAAGCTGCTGTTTTTCATGAACAATTTTGGATAGATCTTAAAGCAGCTAGAGAAATAAGAGGACTTTCGTATATAGATGCAGGATATATTGCAGGTTTAGCTGCTGTTGAAGCTTCAAGTACATCTAATGCATCTGCTATTTTTGTTATTACTACCTCTGGACGGTAAGTGCATAATCTTACATATTTTTCACTGTTGACTATTGTAGACGTGTAATATAACCTAACCATAGGACACCTAATTTAAAAGAAGGACTAGGAC